CCACATGCCGCAAAGCGGCTGGGCCCGTGAGCCATGGCCGCTGAGCCTGCGCGTCTGGAGCCTGTGCTCCGCAACGGGAGAGGCCACAACAGTGAGAGGCCCGCGTACCGCAAAAAACACCAAACAAACAAACAAAAAAAAACTAGGACTGGAAGGGAACTTCCTCAACTTGATAAATAACAATTACAGAAAGCTTATAGCTAACATCATGTTTACTGCTGAGAAACTAGATGTTTTCCCCCTAAAGTCAGGAACAATGCAAGAATGTCTCCTCTCACCACTGCTATTCAACATCATATTGGAATTCCTAGCTAATGCAAGGAAAAGGATATAAAAGTATACAGACTGGGAAGGAAAAAAATAAAACTGTCTTTGTTCATAGAGAACATGACTGCCTATGCAGAAAACCCCCCAAAATTGACAAAAGCTTCCTGGAACTAATAAGTGACTATAGCAAGGTTTCAGGATACAAAATAAATATACAAAAATCAACTGCATTCCTAAATACTAAAAATGAACAACTAGAATTTAAAATTAAAAACACAATACCATTTATAGTAGAAAAAGAAAAAACAATATACTTAGATATAAATCTAAATGAGGAAAACTATAAAACTCTGATAAAAGAAATCAAAGAAGCTCTGAACAAAGAGATATTCCATGAGAAGGCTTAACATTAAGATGTCAATTCTTCCCAGCTTGATCTATAGATTCAATGTAATCTCAACAAAAGTCTCAGCAAGTTATTCTGTGATATTGACAAACTGATTCTAAAGTTTATATAGATATAGGCAAAAGACCTATTAGCTAATACAACAGGGAAGAAGAAGAACAAAGTCAGAGAACTGACATTATCTGACTTCAAGACTTATCACAAAGCTAAATTAATCAAGACAGTGTGGTTTTAGCCAATGAATGGACAGACAGACCAATGAAACAAAATAGGGTCCAGAAATAGACTGACACAAATATAGTCAATCATTCACAAAGTAGCAAAGGCAATTTCATGGAGAAAGATAATCTTTCCAACAAATGGTGCTGAAACAACTGGAATCCACATGCAAAAAAAGAAAAAAAAAATCTAGATACAGACCTTACACCTTTCACAGAAGTTAAGTCAAAATGGATTACAAACCTATATGTAAAAAAGGAAAACTATAAAACTACTAGAAGATAACACAGTATAAAAACTTAGACTATAACACCAAAAATGATCTGTGAAAGAAAAAAATTGATGACTTTATTAAAATTTGGACTTCATTAAAATTTAAAACTTGTGCTCTATGAAAGACACTCAAGAGAAGACGAGGGCTTCCCTGGTGGCACAGTGGTTGAGAGTCTGCCTGCTGATGCAGGGGACGTGGGTTCGTGCCCCGGTCCGGGAAGATCCCACATGCCACGGAGCGGCTAGGCCCGTGAGCCATGGCCGCTGAGCCTGCACGTCCGGAGCCTGTGCTCCGCAACGGGAGAGGCCACAGCAGAGAGGCCCGTGTACTGCAAAAAAAAAAAAGACAAGTCACAGCCTAGGAGAAAATTATCTGCAAAATAGGTATCTGATAAAAAACTTGTATCCAAACAAAGAACTCTTAAAACTGAACAATAAGAAAACAAAACACATCAATTAAAAAATGAGCCAAAGATTGGAACAGACATTTCATCAAAGATATACAGATGGCAAATAAGCATATGAAAAGGTGCTCTCTCTCTCTTTCTCTCTCTCTCTCTACTTTTTTTGCCAAGCCGCACAGTTATGCAGGATCTCAGTTCCCCAACTAGGGATTGAACCCGTGCCCTCTGCAGTGGAAGCGTGGAGTCTTAACCACTGGACTGCCAGGGAAGTCCCATGCTCAATATTGTGTTATTAACGAACTGCAAATTAAAATTACAATAAAATACTACTACATGCCTATTAGAATTGCTAAAATCCAAAAAACTGACAATACCAAATGCTGAAGAGGATGTAGAGCAATAGGCACTCTCATTCACTGCTGATGGGAATACAAAATGGTATAGTCACTTTTTGGCAGTCTTATTATCTGATACAGCAGTTGTGCTCCTGGTTATGTACCAAACTGAGTTAGAAACTTATGTCCACACAAAAACCTGCACATGAATGTTTGAGCAGTATTATTCATAAATGCCCGAAACTGGAAGCAATCAAGATGTCCCTCAACAGGTACATGTATAACAAACTGTAGTACAACCACACAATGCAATATTAAATATTATTCAGCATTAAAAAGAAATGACTTGGGCTTCCCTGGTGGCACAGTGGTTGAGAGTCTGCCTGCCGATGCAGGGGACACGGGTTCGTGCCCCGGTCCGGGAAGATCCCACATTCCACGGAGCGGCTGCGCCCGTGAGCCATGGCCGCTGAGCCTGCGCGTCCGGAGCCTGTGCTCCGCAATGGGAGAGGCCACAACAGTGAGAGGCCCGTGTACCGTAAAAAAAAAAAAAAGAAATGACTTTATCAAGCCACAAAAAGACATGGTGGGATCTTAAATATCGCTAACTGAACATGGCCAATCAGAAAAGGGGACATACCATATGACTCCAACTATATAACATTTTAGAAAAGGCAAAACTGTAGAGACATAAAAAGCCCAGTGGTTATCAGGGGTTTGAGGAGATGGAGGGAGAGATGAGTAAGTGGAGCACAGGGGATTTTTAGAGCAGTGAAACTATTCTTTGATACTGTCATAGTAGATACGTGACATTATGGATTTGTTAAAACCCATAGACCTGTACACATAAAGAGTAAACTTTAATGTAAACTGTGGACAATGTGTTAATAATAATTTATCAACACTGGTTCATTAAATGTACCACTCTAACACAAAATGTTAAAAATAGGGAAAACTGGGGCTTCCCTGGTGGCACAGTGGTTGAGAGTCCGCCTGCCGATGCAGGGGACATGGGTTCATGCCCCGGCCTGGGAAGATCCCACATGCCGCGGAGCGGCTAGTCCCATGAGCCATGACCGCTGAGCCTGCGCGTCCAGAGCCTGTGCTCCGGCAACAGGAGAGGCCGCAACAGTGAGAGGCCCGTGTACTGCAAAAAAAAAAAAGGGAAATCTGTGTACAGGGGAAGGAAGGCACATAGGAACTCTCTGTACTATCTGCTCAATTTTTCTGTAAATCTAAAACTGTTCTAAAAAATAAAATTAATTAGAAAAATCACTCACTGAATCACTGAGTGAAGCAGTGTAGAAAATGGACTGAAAGTGAACTAGAGGGAATGAAGGCAAGAATATCAGCTTGGAGGCTATGGTAATATCAACTTTCTCTCCCATCAACAGTGTATGAGAATGTACATTTATTCATGCCTTTGCCAAAAATGGGTATTATCACTGTTGGTGAAAAATAATTTGTTCTAGTTCATATTTCTTTAATGACTAATGAGGCTCAGCATCTTTGCATTGATAATTGACCATTTGCATTTCTTTTTTATGTCCTTTGTCTTTCTCAGTTGTTTGTTCTTACCTTGATTTACAAATTCTTTGAGTTTAACACCTTCTGTATTTTATCACAACTTAAAAAATATCTTTTGAATTTTATAACCATCATTTTTAATCACTGCATATTATTTCACCAACATACAACTTACTGTTTAAAACCAGTTCTTAGTAGTTTTTCGATGTCACAGATATCATTATGAAAATTTTGTGCATAGAGATTTTTCTACATTATGAAATCTTTTCTTTGAACATATTTTTGGAATGGGAAATACTGAACTGTTGACTGCAAGCACATTTTTATACTTTCGATGAAAGGATATTATCAATTTATACTGCCATCAGCAATATATTAAAATACTAGATTCACTGCATACTCACAATCACTAGGTAGTACAGTATTTAAATATATTTGCTAATTTAGTAGCATAAAAATTTTCCTTTTATTAATTTGTACTTTATTGGTGAAAACCAACATTTTCTGAAATATTTACTTGTTTTTTCTTGAGAAATTTTGGGTTATATTCTTTGCTCACTAATGTAGGAGAATATAAAAATTTTTTCCTTTGAATGCAATAACAGATTTATATGGATATTTTAACTAATAAAAAACTAGCCCTTTGCTGTCTCCATTTGCTGCAAATATTTTTCACCTTCTATGGTTTCCTTATAATTTTAGACACCTGTGATGTATGGAAAATTTAATTTTTATGCAGTCAAATCTAACAGTTTTCCTATGTGAATTCTATCATTTTAAGCTTAAAGAATTATACTCCATTCAGTAGTTTGAAAATTATACTTTCTTTGTGTTTTTCCATGTTTCAATGATTTATACTTAACATATTAATCTCATAAACTTTAACTTGTTTACAATAATAATAGCTAACATTTATTGAGCATTCACTGTATGACAGGTGCTATCATAGACCCAGTTTACATATGTAAATTTATTTAATCCTTACAACTACCTTCTGTGGGTTAGGTATTTGTAGTATCCCAATTTCACAGATGCGGAAACTCAGGCTTTGTGTGGTTAAGTAATTCAGGTAGTATCACACAGGTAGTATACCTGGCAAAACCTGGGTATTAAGCAGCACAGTCTGACTCCAGAGCCTGTGCTTTTAACTGTTACATTATACTGATACTCAAGTTATCTCAATGACATTTTTAATAAATAATTCTTCCCTTAATCATTGTTTTGTAATGCTTCCTTTACTGAAATTCTTTTCACAGGGTCTCAGACTATTTAGTTTGCTCTCCAGATTTGTCTTTTTATAGTAACAATACATGGTTTTAAATACTATAGCTATAAAATATATTTTAATGTTTGATAGTTTTAGGATATGTGTTAGCATAATTCTAAAAGGAATATTTTTTTCTTGGCCGTGCCATGTGGTAAGCAGGATCTTAGATCCCCAACCAGGGATTGAACGCATACCCTCTGCACTGGGAGCGCGGAGTCTTAACCACTGGACTTCCAGGTTAAGTCCCTAAAATGAAGACTGAGTACTTGAGGAAAAATGCAATCTTAATACAATATCCTTACCATACACTGGTGTCTTCCCTGGCAGGATGACAATAATGAGCTGTAGCCCAGAGTACGTGTTCTTGAGATGCCGGAACATGGGCTCCACGCTGTCTGCCCCCTGCGCGTATTTGCAGAAGCAAGGCTGGCCCTGGATGGGCATCCCTGCATCTTTAGAAATCTTACGCAGCTGGTCCGTGAAACCCCTAGAAGGAGAAATCACTAAAATAAAACCTTTGTCTAGTCAGCAACACCTACAAATTAGTAATGGAAAGTTTGGGAATGGAATGGAGAATGAAGCAAAGATTTGTGTGCTACATATAAGAAGAGGTCATCAGACTACTGATGTTAAGGGCAATGGTTGGTCAGTAATCTATTTTTCAAACTAAGAACACTACTGTACAGTTATGTGGCATTTTGTAGTTCACAAAGGACATTAGTAATAGAGTGTGCTGGCTAAGAGCTCAGCTCTATAGGTTCCAGTTCTAGTTCTGTTACGTACTAGCTATGGAATTTTAGGCAAAGTTTTTCAGTTTCTCTCATCTGTAAAATGACCACTTTCAATATAGGGTTGATGTGAAGATTAAATGAGATAATACACGTGAAGCACTTAGCACTTAGCACACTCATACCTTTTCTAATTTGATCCTAACAAGATTCATAAGAAAGTGGTAGGTAAAGTATTACTGCCATTTTATAAATCAGGAAACAGTTTCAGGGACATTAAGTATTTGACCAAGGTCAAATGCTTATTAGACAAATGGCAAGAGTAAGAACTATGACCTAGTCCAGAATTTCTTTCTACAATAATACCTATCTGACACTTAGGATAGCAGGAAAGATTCTGTCCTCAGAAAAGATTAAAAAAAACAAGAAAACATTTAAAAAGAAATGAGGCAGACAGCACTTTAATGTACTTTTATCCACACTGAAAAAACAAAAGACTAATAATTTCTTATTTAAACAAAATTCTGCACTTAGCCTAGGATAAATAAGTAATAATGTTGGGATTTAACAATCACTTTACTTGTTTTTAAAACAAATACGGTCCTACGTCAAAGATCTGAGTGATCTTTGCTCAAAAACACTGATTCCCTCAGGACAGAGATGGAGTTTGTAGGAATTCCCTTCTCCTTTTCCTTATTAGTATTTAATTCAAGAAAGTATGAAGTTGAATATTTTCAGTTAGCCTGAACAAGAGCCATAAGCCCAATGATTATGAGACTTCTATCAAGCCATGAATAAAACATGTAAAATGAAAAGAATAACTCGAAGCTTGAAAAACAGTTGGAGGTGTTTTCTTTGGTCTCTGGAGGTCAAGTAAGATAATAGCAGCATTCTCCTTAACTGTCCTCATGACATTTTACTTGAAAGCCAGGGGATAAAAACTATACTAAAAGGGCTTCCCTGGTGGCGCAGTGGTTGAGAGTTTGCCTGCCGATGTGGGAGATATGGGTTCGTGCCCCGGTCTGGGAAGATCCCACATGCTGCGGAGCGGCTAGGCCCGTGAGCCATGGCCGCAGAGCCTGCGTGTCCGGAGCCTGTGCTCCGCAACAGGAGAGGCCACAACAGTGAGAGGCCCGCATACCGCAAAAAAAAAAAAAATAATAAAATAAAATAAAAATATACTAAGTGAACCTTAAGACGTAGGATTTGGAGCTAATAAAAAGGAGTGAACAGAATGAAATAGAAAATAATTTTTCTCACATGAAGGAGGCAAATTCTGAATTGACCTGGGGTAAACTGGTCTCTACGTCACTCAAGAACTATTCATTATGGGCATATTTTATAGGATTTGTTAGTGGAGACTTAAATTAGACCATAATCATTTCCTTAGGGAAATTAGATTCCAGAGGGGAAACAAGAAACTTACACAGATAATTATAATATAATTCTATTTTATACAGGAAGTGACAAGTACAAATGGAGAGGATATTGATAAACTACTATGGTTAATACTATGGATTATTTCCAGCATCACAAATCACAGAAGACTGGCTATTATTTAGAAATGTAGAGATAGAAAGGAGGCATTTTCAGTAAAGAGTAGAATGAGTGGAAATGGAAAAAAATACCACACAGTTAGAGGGCATACAGTACTCAGTTTCTTTGCCCAGAATATATGAAAATGGAGAAAGGACTTAAGAGGCAAATAAAAAATTTTAAATGTTATACTGATTTTTAATGTTATTCTTTGTCAAAGAGAAACCTAAAAGTTTTAGAGCGGAGGTAGTCACAAGTGGAGCTGGTGCTCTTTTCACAGTAGCACAACTCCTGAAACAAGAGTAACAGCAGAAGCCCTTGAGACTGCCAATGCCCCAAAGATTAGAGAGTCCCAAAGGAGATGGTGTAGAGGAGAAAGGAAGCCAAAGTGGTAAAAAGAAAACAGGAAGGCAAGAATGGAGAGAATGTCAGGAAGGTAGTCAATTGTATCTAATGCTGCACAAATTTTGAGGAAAAATAATGGCCGAGAAGAGACCATTAGAATTGATAAGCAAAAAGATACTGAAGATCTTCCAGTAACCAGTTTCAGCAGACCACTAAGATTTCAAGGAAGGAGAGAGAATGGAAGCCTGGAAGCCTTAAATCAGGTAAAATGAAAAATGAAGGGCTTCCCTGGTGGCGCACTGGTTGAGAGTCCACCTGCCGATGCAGGGGACACGGGTTCGTGCCCCGGTCTGGGAGGATCCCACATGCCGCGGAGCGGCTGGGCCCGTGAGCCAAGGCCACTGAGCCAGCGCATCTGGAGCCTGTGCTCCGCAATGGGAGAGGGCACAATGGTGAGAGGCCCGCGTACCGCAAAAAAAAAAAAAAAAAAAAAAAAAAAAGAAGATTTTGGGTTTGTTTTAAATTTAAACAGAAGATTGTTGAGGGAAAGAATCTGGAGAAGAGGAAAAGTAGTGGAGATGCAGGTCAAATTTTGGAAAGTAAGGAAGTGAAAATGAGAAATTAAATGACTCTTTCAAAGAACTCAATTGAGAAATAAGGATGTTATTTAATCCTCATTCAGTAAATAGGTACTATTATCTCTATTTTTAAAAGGTGAAAAGTGAAGCATAATGAGATTAAATAAATTATCCATGGTAGTAAGACTAGAAAGTGGCAAACCTGAGAATTACATCTAATCTGTTCGCCATCAAAAGCCAATGGTACTCCTGCTATACCACATAAGCTAGTCCATTAGGATGCTTGTAAGAATGAATCAGTGACTTAGATATGACCAACAAATTCAGGAATCTTTATCAAAGTAACAAGAAGAAACATTTTTAAAGGTTCAGTGATTAAATATACTTCATATTGAGGCAACACTGGTTAGAATATTAGCTGAGTAATTTAAAACTGAAATACAAAATTTAAACACAAAATGGTCCCAAAGTGAAACTAATGACAAGCCTTACTTCAATATTTCTTCTCTGCACTGCCTCTGTGTGGCAAAACAAGCTATAGCCCACATTTTGATTTCAACTCCTGTGTGGAACTGTTTCCCTCGCATGTCCCATACTCCGTGGCTTGGTGTTGCTACTGTCCGATTCTACAGAGAAAGAGAAATAATAAGGCAAAAATGAACAAACATTTAATATATAACTTATTTGAATGAGCTGAAAATAAGCATTTCAAATTGCTGAACTGTATATATCTGATATTCTACATGGAATAGGCTGTTCTAAATCAATATTTTATATTTTTATCATAGAAAAACAAAAGTTCTACTAAGTTCAAGCAAAGACACTGATCTTGAAACAAACAAAAAAAATTGTTGGAACAATAAAACACTTTTTAAATTCCAGACTTAGCTAGGAAGCCCTTCTCTCCATACACAGAAACTGTATGATTATAATTTAAAAATTATCAATTATTTACCCGGCCACCATACTGGAGCATAGGTGCTGGAAGTACGCGTCCGGTTACATGGGCCATTTCATCCCGAACTTTAAATTGAAACTCCTGAACAAATGGATCTGTTTCATAATTTGCACTTCTTACCTAACAACAGAAAAAGTTTGTAGTTACTTTCAAAATTCCCCCAAATTCCCTGCTTTAGAACCCTCTAACTTTTTTTCTTCACTGTGTCAACAATGTTTTATAATACTGACAGGTGCAGATAATGGTACCCTCACTATAGAGCAGAGAATCTTAACTTGGGGACCACAGATCATGAGTGGACTGTAGGAAGTCTGTGAACCTCCTGATAATTTACAGAACATTTAAATGTATTAGGCTGCATAATAAGAAATTTCAACTATTTATGACTCATGAAAATGGTAACTTTATATGATTAAGCCTCATATACTTTGGGAGGGTGGTTGAGAGTCTGCAAGAGAAATATAAGGTTTAAAAAGTTCGTATGGGTTTTCCCCTAATATCTTATGGAAAAACTCGAATGAACTTTTTGGCCAACCCAATACCTGACCTAAAAATAGTTAATTACTTCTAATTAGAGGATCTGGATATATACTATTGAAATTTATTTTATGTAGATCTCGACAGCAAATATCAATAATCCTAAAGCTTTTTTTCCTAATTGATTACAAGTTATACAAAATCTCCTTGAATATTTTCAGATAAAACACAGCACATTATAAAATTTACTTAAGAGATACACTTGAGACAGAAAAGAAAGCCAGTATGAGATACAGATTATAATTTTTATGTAATATACCAATATGTGCAAAGATAAAGAATTTATTGTAATTCAGTGTAGACTTGAATCTCAAAAGTGTAATTCATGCTCATAGTGTGCTATAATACGTTTTTCAAAACATATTTACTTAGTCTCAGAAAAAAGGTCAAACAAGGTTACAAAAAAAGGCAATGCTCAATTCTTTGAGTAACATTCTATTAAAAAACACTATATAGGGCTTCCCTGGTGGCACAGTGGTTGAGAGTCCACCTCAAATCTCAATAACTAGTTCTAACTCATTTATTAACAGCTTTTCTGTTCAGAGAGATGATATTTTACAGTGATTGAAAGCACAGGCTTTGGAATCTAACAGCTCTGGGTTCAAAGTCTAACTTCTTTACTCACTTACTGTTACTATTATTGTATTATTATAATTATAGCATCTGGTAGGCTGGTGCAGTGATTGAGAGTAGGAACTCTAGAATCAGAATGTACATGGTTTCAAATTATATATCACTTGCTTAGCTATATGGTTTTAGGCCAATCATTTAACTTAACTGAGATTTAATTTTATCCTCTGTAAAATAAAGATTATAAAAGACTTACTTTATAGTCATAGGTTATTGTGAAAATTAATTATAAAACATTTAGCACCAAGCACATCACCTACCAACTCCTGGTAAATAGTAGTAGTTGTTATTGTTTGTAACCTTACAGGAAAAAAAATGGCATTTAAGCTTGAAGAAAAGATACATTAGTTAGATGCGTTAATTAGATGCCTAATTTAGAAAACAAATTTTCCTGCACATTGTGGGGAGATTCTTTTTACATATTTAGATTATATAGTGTTTTTTGTTTTTGTTTTTGTCTTTGTTTTTTGGTGGTACGTGGGCCTCTCACTGTTGTGGCCTCTCCAGTTGAGGAGCACAGGCCTTGGACGCGCAGGCTCAGCGGCCATGGCTCATGGGCCCAGCCGCTCCGCGGCCATGTGGGATCTTCCCAGACCGGGGCACGAACCCGCGTCCCCTGCATCGGCAGGCGGACTCTCAACCACTGTGCCACCAGGGAAGCCCCATCAGTTTTAAAAGTAGTATTGATGTCTCTTTTCTCCCCATTTAGAGCAAGGAGACAGCTTAGAGATCCCATACAGCTGGAGCTGTCTTATATTTCTTTATTCATCCTGTACGGTTACCAGTGTTTACAATGGAGCCAAGCCATCCTACTTTGTGTGTTAAGACTCTCACCATTGCTAGTCATAAAACTTTGACTTTTCTTCCTTTTCTCTTCCTCTTTTAGGTGGAAGTAATGAAGGTCCAGTTTGCTAAACTGAAACATTAGTTCTGAGAGTATCTGTTCTGAATCTAATTAAAGAGCTTGGGGTTAAATTAGAAGGATCTAGTCTAACCCTTTTCATAGAACCCACTAAGATTCACCTCTAGAATACCACTAGATTACTTCCATAATCTCTTTTAATTCTGACAGCCCATGAAATGGTAATAAGGTATGAGTTGATAAGGACATGGTTCTTTAGAGCTGACCCTCATATGTTTTTAATTTTCATTTCTAGGGTTAAGTACTAACCAATCTGCTAATTTCCTCTTGTCTATCTGGTGCAGATCTTGCTGTTGCTTTGATCATAGTGGAGGTTTGATTGTCCGTTAGCTTCTTGATACATCGTTGCCCTGCCACAATATTACAGACCTACAAATGGAAAAAAGTTTTGTACTAGATATATACATCTTTCTTAAAATTCTGAGCACCAATTACATGTGAGATTAAATTTTAATATCTACTCCATTAAACCACTTCTGTTTAATATCAATACTGCTTTACAGTATGATTATAATTAGGTAAAATATACACTGCATAAAAAGGCTGAAAAGAAGTGTACCAAAATGCTAACAGTGGTTACATTTAGAGTGGTAGGACTGTGGATGAATTTTTTCCCATATTATTTTATAGCTGAAAATTTAGAATAAAAGGAAATTTATAAACAGTTCAGTCTCCAAAATAAATGTGAGAATATGAAGTAAGTTATAGGTCATTAAAAACCCCAACAGAACGATGAATAAGAGGATATTAATAAGCAGCCTAAACACATTACTTCTAGTGGCAGATAGGTATGTTTCTGCTCCTGCCCCACTTGCAGACAGGGAAGGTGTGGGTACTTCAGCTGAAGAGTATACTTTTCTCTGAAATACTGTGCTACTGTTCTCTCCACAGTTTGGCCATTTTCTAACTGTAAAGGAAAGCTGGAAAAAAAAAATTACACATTAACAACTCTTATCTCATTATGAGCCAGCAAAACTCCCAATCTACTAACTAGAGCAAGCTGCCTCACATCATCTCTGCTCTGACAAACACCAGCTTTTCTTACGTTTGATGACTGGCAGGCCTTCTTGTTACATTACAAACACGGTATTTCCGTCTCATTGTTCCACAATGAGTCACTTCAACCTTCAGACCTGTTCCCAACAAGAAAAACTGAGGTTATAGAACTGTCACATGTAAAATATTTATAACTATAAAGCCTGTTCACTACTATAAAAACTCAAATTCTAAACAGAAAATCTGTGATACAGGCAATGTGATATTAACAAAGGATTTTATATATAACATTGTTAACAACAGTTACAATCATGATAGACCTAACTCCAAACCTTTTCCCTATTCTATCAAGTTATTAAAAAATAGTATAAAATTTGCAAAGCCTGTATATCAAGGGATAAAGTTCTCCATTAATAAAAAACCCTGCTTACAATGCAGGTTTTTATGCTGGTCGAGGGAAGGAGCAAAGGGAGTTATGATAATTCTCAAGATATTCTATAACCTTCAAAGTATGTGATATCTGATTTGCCCAGTAATCACATACTGACTGAAGATCATAATTTCATATAGCTGAAGAAGAAAGTCCTTCAAAGATTTTTAATGCAGGAAGGAAAAAAAAAAAAATCCCAGGCCCTTTTAACAGAAGTGGAGTGACAATTTCGCTGAAGGATAATATAGTGATACAGTTCTTTTACTACTATTAGAAATCAAATGCAACCAAAATAATTCCTAGAACAGGTAATCCAGACCTTCTTATGGACCCTTTGAGAATCTGATGAAAGCAATAAATTCTCAGAAAAATGCAACATACACTTAATTTAGCATATGATTTTAGATGTTTGTGGATCTGTACGTCCATTTGTGGACCCTAGGGGTTTGCAGATCCTAGGCCTGCTTTAGAAAGTGAAGCTGTGGGCTTTTAAAACACTGGCTGAAATTCTTTGGGATGAATTTTCCTATGCAGTGGTGTACAAAAGAATTTTCTGAGATGATGGATTGTTCTACATCTGTGCTAAAATCACCAGCAATATGTTACTGCACACATGAAATGTGGCTAGTGTGACTAAAAAACTAAAATTTTAATTTAACTTTAATAAATTAAAATTTAAATAGCTACATGTGGCTAGTGGATACTCTTGGAGCTACCTAGAGAAGAGTTAACAAACAGATACAGTGGCTACTGGTCACAGATAAACAACTCCATTTCTAAGGTCTATACTCCAAAGGAGGAAAATCTAAAAACGGGTAGATGGAGGACAACTTTTAGTTCCCGGATAGTATTTACGGTTATACTTTTGTATTATTTTCCTTTTATATCTGTGTATCCTATAGTGCAGAGGTTCTCAACCACAGGTGACTCTGACCTCCAGGGAAGGTTTGGTGATGTCTGCAGACATTTTTGATTGTTATGACTGGGGGTGCTACTGGCATCTAATACATGCTAGATTTTGGAATGCTTGGATCCAGGGATGCTGCTAAATTATACTGCAATGCACAGGCCATCACTACCTCCCATCCCCAACCACAACAAAGAATTATCCAGCCCAAAATATCAATAGTGCCAAGGTTGAGAAACCCTGATACAGTATAACTTATTTTCGTATCTACTAACTGCAGAACCAAACACAAAGTTCAATCATAGTAATATTTTCTTATGACATATCAGCATAAATTAAGATGTTAAATGGTACAGTGTCACTGTACCAGATTGGTATGAGGTTTTCTTAAGAACTACTCCTAATTGAATCAGTGAGAAATAGTTTTTATTAGTAACTACCTTTATAAAACTAAAATTTCAGATCAATTAGAGCATTTACTATGCCTCTATAAATAAGACTAGGAAATACTACCAAGAGAAGGCCTTTAAAGAAGGAAACACCAACATATGAAGTAAGCAAGATGTAAAAATATTGTTTAGGGGGAAAACACGATAGAAAAATTTAAAACAAATTTCTGTTATCTATACCACTTAGCAATTTGTTTTCAAATCTTCCCCTTGAATTAAAAAAAATTATCAGTAAGGTTCTACAAGCCTACTAAATAAGTTTTTATCAAAAATAAAATTGATGTAAAGCAACTATACTCCAATAAAAATTAATAAAAAAGTAAAATAAAATACTCTTACATACATATGGTACTTTTACCATAAACTTCCTCCAATATTTCTGCTATTTAACTATGATGAATTACTGCACAAAGAAACCACCCTAAAGTTACCATTAAATATTTAGGAAAAAGTTCAACTAGAACCAAAAAATATTGTACTAGGAAATCTATTCATTATAGCACACTTTGTATCACTATTTAACAAGCTTCATCAAATTCCTCATGCTAACTAAAAATTAAACCCAAATACATAATACGAAACATGTAACTTTGATTCTCTTGTGTAACTGAGGTAGGAATACACGACGTACTTTAAAGAGTCCTCTTTAAAAAAAAAGCCTTCTTAACTTTGAATGGAGGAAAAAATCATCAGTAAGTCAGTTAGATCCAACTCAGATTTTTCTACCCCAAATCTACAGTCATAGGTGCCTAAGGATTAGATCCAAATCCAGGGGTTAGCAAAAAGCTGAAATTTAAAAAAATGGACTAGATAATTCTCTGCCCGGGTCCCTCCCCAAACCCTCCATCCAACAAAAAATGTTTTTGGCTTTAATAAATCAAATATTTAACCTATAAACTTGGCTTTACCTTCACTATAACATCAACTTTATAATGCTTTCTAGTCATTTTTTCAGTCATTTCTTTGGCCCCCTGAGCAGTTGAAGTTAAGATCGAGTCCATGCTCTTCGGGCAGCAGTTGAATCCTTGTTCTGTACATCTTGTATTTTCTGTGATAGAGTGGTGATATGAGTTGATTGCATAGTTACCGCAAAATAATGTAAGTGACTTCATGATATCAGAGGTGGTAACTAAGCAGCAACTCCACTGGAAACCATGGCATTTAGATGATCACATATTAATGGTGGGTAATGCACTACCTCCCAACAATGCTAACTGTGCAGTTAATACAGATTATGAAAGGACAATGGTATGATTGCAATATAAGAATATATAACACTTTCTTATTCTGACACTTAAATAACTTGAGATAAATGGATGCCTATTTTCAAAGCAGGAAGAATTTTCCTTTAAATGTTTTATTACAATGACCATCTCTCTCCTGGTTACTAAATGGCAAAGAATAAATGATTACTGGAGCAAGCAGGATGTATTCAACTATACTAATTGATTTGGGGAACTGAAAGATGTTCAGAGAACAAACTTCAATGCTTCATTCAAACCACAAGCTAAAAATTGCCTGTAACAAATAGGTAAAACCTTAAAATAAAACGACATAATTATTGACAATTGAAGATCTAACATTTAGTTTAAATAGAATTTATACTATTCATTCTGATTAGAGAATATCTAATTTCTCTTTGTGTCTAAATAATAAAGAACTAAATACAGTGGAGTCACATCTTACATGAGGATTAGGTTCTAAAGTCATGAACAAGGCAAGAATTTTACATAATCAAAATTACTGTTGAAAAATCCCTTAAATTGCAGATAAAGTACACTATGTGTGGGTTTGCACATAAAAGTGTACATGTATATAGAAAGCAACAATTATATAAACAATAAGTATATACAAAATATAAATTTTAGGACACAAAATTAATTTTTAATTTTTCTCTCTGGAAGACTATGTAGAGATGAATTTGTATTAGTAAAATATATATATGATGCAACACCACTGTATACATTTTAGCTACTAACTATAAAATAGTCAAGATCAATCGTCAACTGAATAATGTATATGAAATTACTGTTTCAACTCTAGAACAACACATGAAACAGGCTAGTCCCATATCCATAAATTTACAAAGGAATAAAATATTCTGCTATCATTTCAGAAAAATAAAGAAGTCATTATATTATTGATAGAATATGTTCAAAGAATGGCTCCAGTTCTGAAGTGACAATGTTTTTGGAATAAGCTTATTTTTTAACAGTATCATAGAAGCATTTTCCTAACAGATACTCTTATACCTTCAGCTAGTAAGGGAAAGTATTGACAAAAAATTAGCTAGTATCAATATTAATTCCATTACTTGGTATTTCTTTCATTGACACACTACCTAAGATGTTATGGTAATGAATTTAATGTGACATTTTATAATTAGTCCATATTTTTACCGGTGATGTTACATGAACAGATTTACATCTTAAAAAATTTCAATGAAAGTTTGTTATATTCATGCATTTTATAGTTAAGTTGTTCCAAATGCTAATTAACTCACCTTTTATCTCTTTGGTGAATTTTACCCGATGAGAATCAGTCAGAGGTCTTGGCTGCTCATCAATATTATGAATGTCAAGAACTTCACACATGAACTGAATTACAGGTTGTGCTTTGTAGAAGGCAGTGGCAGAAACTAAGAAGAAAAACACAAATAGTACAAATTAATGTTTCCTTTAAAAAAACTCAAAAACTTGTTCTCGGGCTCCATGATAATTAACTAATATAGAGTTAAAATTACCCTTTTATGTATATCTATATACATATAAAAATATTTCCAAAGTTAAGCTGTTTCAATTTGAACTGTTTGACTGGAAGACAAGCACAACAACAGAAAAAGCCTAATATTACAGTTTTTATAATCTCTTATCATGGGTAACTGAATCATTCCATTTCCTACATGTACAGAGCAGTGTTCTGACTATGAAACAAGGTCTGTAAGGGGACAAAGAAGGCCAGAGCACCTTAAAGAAGAAAAGGTTAGGTATTATTTCTTAAACAAAGCTTTTTGTGCCACCCTAGACTGCTTATCTATTCTAGTGAGAGCTCTCCCTGTCTTGCACAGATTTGAGAAGACAATGGTATTAAATGTTACTAGTGCTAATCCAAGCTATAGGTAGTAACAGTAAAGTATATCTGCCCAATGTTATCTAGCAACAGTCAGCAGTCTTCCAAGAGCCAACAAGTATGATTTCTTAATCTTGGGTTTTGGAACTAGAAGAGCTTCACCAATAGCTAGTAGACCACCATCATTCATTTCTTAAATACATACTTACTGACTGCTATTATGTGCTATAAAGGCACTGGGGATACAGTGAAAAGTAAAACCAAAACAGACAATAAGCTACATGCTATCATGTTATTTTTTTATTTAAAAACATGCCTACTGTGGCGCTCTTTCTCTTACTCTCCTTGGTTTAGGATTAAATGTCTTCCACACAATGTCCCTCATCTCTGGAAGGATATTTATCAAGGCTTTAAGTAGTTATCTCAGATAGTAAGGCTACTGTAGATATTTTTTATTTTCTTCTTTTTGACTTTATCTTTAAATCTTCATTTTTTAATAGTGAGCACATATTACTTTTTCCTTTATTACAGAAATAATATATGAATGAAGTCTCATCCTAAAAAACTTAAACAATATAGATATGCACAGTAAAGAATTCTGGTCTCCAAGTATCTTTAAGAAGCAACCATTATTAGTACTTAGGTATGTATATATCCTATTCTTTTAATATGCACTTAGAGATAAAAATGCATATACAACTTTCTTTTTTAACATGAGATCAGATAATAAATGTGTTCTATGACTTCTTTTATTATTATTTTAAAAACTAACAATGTGTCTTAGAGATCTTTTTATTCTGCAGTTTGGGTGCATGGTAATTAAGTGAATATATATTCCCTTCCCCTCTTAATGAAAAGGAACACAAATGATAAAACATTAGAAATACTATTCTGGCCTTTGATTTCTTTTTTCTCATTAAATATCTTAGAGATAGATCTATATGTACTAATATGGAACTACATCATTCTTTTTCACAGCTGCAGGATATCTCATTGCATGGACCTACTTCATGTCCCTCATGATGGATAGTTATGTTGGTTTTGTACTTCCATCCAAATAAACTTTAGAAATACCTCCACAATTTCAAACTAACTAAAAAAAGAGAGACTGGTAAGACTGTATTAGCATTCTGGGTATCTTATTCAAATCCACAGTACTTTAAAAAAATGTATACATTACATTCTTCTATTAAAAAATGTGAGAATATTGTTGTACATTGAAACAAGGCTGGCAAGATACATACCAAACAAGCACATATTGCTTCTGTGTTAATTTAAAAAAAAAGTGAATAAAGGAAAATAAATACATGGTAATTAACATGCTTATTTTGTCTTTCCTTTAATCCTACAGGTAAATTTTCTTCACTGGATTATTATAATACTAGCATTCACAACTAATGTGTCTTATCTCACAGAGTTGAAACTACTAAACAAACATTATTTATCCTGTTTAACATTCTATTAATTTTCCTTAGTGTTTATCCCACTGTTCTTCTAATCATTACTGTTCACCATCTTCCCCACAGCAATGTGGGCATCTGAGGTAAAAATTAAAGTTAGTGAAGGAAAGCTCTTACAAAAGATGGGATGAAATCAGTGAGTACAGTTGAATTAGGCATGAATTTCAATCAGCAAAGATCTGCCTCTCTATCCCTTGGTTAAATCCTTAACATTTTATAAACCTACATATTTATGCATTTTTTCCTTCTTTCCCTTTCACAAATCAGCTGAGTTTAACTGAAAAAGTAATATTTACATTTAATATTTTTAAAACCTATTAACAAAATATACATTAACACACTAAAGGAAATAAACATACAATCATTTCTACAGATAATTACCCTCAAAAAAGCATTAGATAAAATTCAGCACCATAACTAAAAGTCTCACAGTACCAGGACTAGAAAGGAGCTTCCTTAATTTGATAAAAGTTATCCACCAAAAATCTATGGTAAATTCAACTTCATTTAATAGAAAGTGCTAGCTGGCACAGGAATGCAAGCTAAGAGAAGTAAAAGGTAAAAAGATTGGAAAGGGAGAAACAAAATTATTCTTCTTCACAGTATGACTAGAGAGAAAACCCAATAATCTATAGATAAATTATAGAATCAGACAGTTCAGTAAGGTTGCTAGATTTAAGATCAACATATAAAAATAAAATTACATTCTTATACACTAGCACCCAACTTAAAATGTAATTTTAAAAAGATACCATTTAATATCACAACAAAAAAACCATAAGACACTTGAGATAAAATCTGAACAAAAGATGCATAAGACCTATAGAAGTAATAGGTATCTTTACTACTACAGAAAATCTAAATAAATGGAGTATATACCTTATTAATATAAATTATTTGTAAATTGATATGCAAATTCAAGGCAATTTCAATCAAAATACCAATAGGATATAACCCCCTTGACCTCTGGAACTTAAGAAGCTGATACTAACTAACATGAAAGAGAAATGAAACAAGAATAGCCAAGATAGTTTTTAAGAATAAGGTCTGCTCTAACATTCGAGATCTGTTATAATCCAATTCAAGTCAAGAGACTGTGGGGACAGACACACAGACCAGTAGAACAGACTTGGAAGCCCACCTTATAAAATATACAAAAACAAATTCCTATTCAGAGAACTGAACATGAAAAGAAAAATAAACATTTAGAGGAAAATAGAGAATATCTTTATGATCTTGGAGGCAAGAAAGAATTTCTTAAGATAAAAAAACTATCATAAAAAAATACCATAAACAAAGCCAGAAAAAAAAGACAGGCTATAGATATGTGTAATACATATAACAAATGATTACTATCCAGAATATATAATAAGTTCCTATAAATCAAGATAAAATAAAAGTGGCAAAGGATACGACTAGGCATTTCATAGAAGAGAAAACCTAAATGTCAAAAAACAAATTTTCACTAATTATCTTATTTGTAATTAAGGAAATATATACAAAAACTATATCAAGCTATCATTTTACACCAATCAAGACTGACCAAAAAGGTTAAGACCGATAACACAAGCTGACAACAAGCCAAAGGAAGACTGAAGAATGAAAGCTCTCATACAGACTGCAGGAATATAAACTGATATAGTCAGTTAGGAACAAATGGTAATTTATAGTAAGTTTGAAGATGAGCATAATTTTCAACTCAACAATTTCACTCTAGGACTTCCCTGGTAGTGCAGTGGTTAAGAATCCGCCTGCCAAGGCTTCCCTAGTGGTGCAGTAGTTGAGTCTGCCTGCCAGTGCAGGGGACACAGGTTCGAGTCCTGGTCCGGGAAGATCCCACATGCCGTGGAGCAACGAAGCCCATGGGCCGTAACTACTGAGTCTGCGCTCTCGAGCCCGCGAGCCACTACTGAAGCCCATGTGCCTAGAGCCCGTGCTCTGCAACAAGAGAAGCCACTGCAATGAGAAGCCCGCGCACCGCAACAAAAAGCAGCCCCTGCTCACTGCAACTAGAGAAAGCCTGTGCACATCAATGAAGACCCAACGCAGCCAAAAATAAATATAAGTAAAATAAATAAATAAATTAAATAAATTAAAAAAAAGAATCTGCCTGCCAATGCAGGAGACACAGGTTTGAGCCCTGGTCTGGGAAGATTCTACATACCAGGGAGCAACTAAGCCTGTGTGCCACAACTACTGAGCCTGCGCTCTAGAGCCCACGTGCCACAACCACTGAAGCCTGCGCGCCTAGAGCCCGTGCTCCGCAACAAGAGAAGCCACCGCAATGAGAATCCTGTGCACCGCAACAAAGAGTAGCCCACCCTTGCCGCAACTAGAGAAGTCCGGGCGCAGCAAAGACGACCCAATGCAGCCCTAAATGAATCAATGAATGAATGAATAAATGAAGAACTTAATAAAAACCCAAAAAACAATTTCACTCTATTGGAGTATATAACTCTGCAAAAATTCCATATCTGTGAAAGGCAACATGAATGAGAATGCTTATTGTAGCACTGTTTAAAATGGTAAAAAGAATGGAAACAACTTAAATACCAGCCAAATGGATAAATCTGTACTACATACATATAATTAAAATTAATGGGCAGGTGTTAGAATTCAGATAAATACAATTGAGAAGTAGAAAACTTGAGAGGAGTTTGGTAGAAAATGCGATCTTACCAACTACTTAGATTGCCATTATCTAGATATGTATAATACACAACTAAGGCAAAAAAATTTACCAAAATAGACTAGATGTCTAGAATACCAGTGGGATTGTCTTTCAATTCATGAACATAATATCTCTGAATTTATTAACGCCATTCCAGTTTCATTAAGGTTTTGTGATACTTTATAACTCATTTATTGATAAAAATTTTGTTGCTGTTGGAAATGTATCCTTTAATCTTTCATCACTTACTAACTTATTATTATTATTTTTTAAATTTTATTTATTTATTTGTTTTTGGCTGTGTTGGGTCTTCGTTTCTGTGTGTGGGCTTTCTCCAGTTGTGGTGAGCGGGGGCCACTCTTCATCACGGTGCACGGGCCTCTCACCATCACGGCCTCTCTTGTTGTGGAGCACAAGCTCCAGACGCACAGGCTCAGT